GGGATATTTCGTTTCTTAACATTTTTACCCCCATATTCTTGAAAAGAATAAAGAATAATGGAGATTCATTGAGCAACGCTGATAATGCATTAATATTTTATTGTATTACATGTACAGACACTAACTCGTGCGAATCCCTTTCTAACTGTCGACAGTGATGTCTATTCGTTTTTTCTACGATCCTCAATTGATATTAGATCGCGTTTTCTTTATAAATTATTTGCTTTAAATCAAATAGAAAGGTATATTTTATAAATCGCATACAGCTTAATATTTATTAAGAAGAAAATTTATTTGGAGAAATATTTACATTGTATATTTATCAAGAAATCTTTTATTATATAAAAATAAAATTCCCTTCATTAATCCGATATTAGATATTTCTAAAAAATAAAAAAGTATTATCTGTTATTTACACATATATTTAGGTGTATTTCGAAAGTATGGAAAAATTCGAAATTATGTATTAAAATTGTCAGAGTATGTAATACGTGATGCATATTATGACCGATATTATTTATAAAAAGTCAAAAGTACGACTAAAATTTTGAAACTAATAACTGTATTATGTATTACCGTGAGTAATGCACGTATGTATTTGTAAACACTGCACTACGTCGTAATTATAAATATATATTCATCCACCGTTCATATCTAATAATTTGTCATTATTTGTCTTTTGTTTCCAGGGATGATTTTAATTGAATTTAATTCTTGATTATTCAATTTTAATATTATTTAAATATCTACTAAAATTTAATGAATTTAAATGCTTATTATAATATTTTGGAACTCGTTTTTATACTCTTAACGCATTATAATTAATAAAACAATCCGCATTAATAAAATAAAAGAATTATTTTTTCCTGTCTATCATTGCTGGTTCTCTTGATGAAACAAATATTTTCTTTATTATTGTAATAAGCAGAAATATCGATTACACGTCGATTAAAATATTGGCTTAACGTTCGGATTTTTCAAAAATTCAAAAGTTCTGCAAAAACAGGAATTTACGTCTTTCATTTTTTGAAAAATTGTATTTACAATTATTATAAATTATTTCGTTGTTAATAATCTTTGTGATGCTATGAGTGGAGGCGAATATTAATTTATTCAATCAATTATTCATATATTCAATTGATTAGCGATTATGAATAAAATTTACTTTATTATGTAATATTATAATATTTCTATTTATTACATAAATTATATTTAATGAATTTATTGATGAAAGTGTAATTAATGTATTGATATATTAAAACACGGTGAATAAATAATAATTATTAAAAGTGATATAGTTCTATTATTATATAATATCATATCTTATAAATATATAATAAAATGTACTTTTTATTATAAAATATTTTTTAGAATAAAGAAGATTGTAAAGAAGTATGTACATGAAAAATTCTTTTTCTCATTGAAAAAAATCATTTTACGCTAGTGAAATGACAATGAATTTCACAATATATTTTATTTCTATTGTCAGTAATGGGAATAAAAACCAAATTTGTTAGTATTTTAATTCGTAGTAATTTATTTAATTTATAATAAGGTAATACAGTAAAAACTTTGCATAATATATTATAAAAGTTTTAATTTTTCATGATAATATATATTTATCTCAAATGTTATATATAGATTTTACAACAAGAATAAAAAAAGGAAAAAAAAAACTAGCAGCTTGTAGTGGTTCCGAATACATTTAACGTAATAAATCATCGATTATTCGAAGTTGACAGAATACTGTATTAATAATATTTAAGATGTCGTTCCATAATAATTCTTAAACTATTAAAAAGATTTATATTGCTTAATAATTGACAGGGTTTTAATTGCTCATAAAAAGCCTATATTTGTTTAGAAAAATATCTTTTTTTTTTATTGATTTAACTTTACGAGTATGATTTTCGACTTTTAAATTAAAAAATTCTCATCTATTTATTCGTTTCTCAGTTCTTTAATCTACATTATAAAATACATATATTATTTATTATAAAATATTTATATTTTAAAGATAATTTATTTTTATTGATTTAATATATAAACAATGCCTTATAAAATTATTTTTTTGTAAATAGTGTTTATACTGGCTTTTAACACTTAACTCGATTATTATTATTATGTAATAATAAGTGCGCTTAAAGAATACTAAAATAACAATAATAGATGCTACAATACTGAACTATAAGCTAAAATATTACATATTAAAATAACTTGTTAAAAATTACATACTGAAATAATTTTATAAAATTAATACATTTCAAACAGACTTCATTAAGAGAAAATAATTTGTTTTGTTTAACTAATAATAAAGTTTTACATATTTATCTGTTAAAAATGTGTATTTATATTGTAATATAGTAGTAATATTAGTATCCGTTAATTATCCTTGAAACGTAATTTTATTCATAAAAAAAAAATGATAAAAATAACCATTTTACTGTAATATTTTTACTGATATAATTAACATTACCACTCACCATGTAATTGGTTATATAAATGTAAATAATGGACTCTATAAGTACATAGTATATTTTGCTGTTAAATCCAGCGTAATTTTACAAGAAGAGAGATATTTGATTTTTACTTTACCTTCAACTTCTTTCCGTTAAAATTTATACCTGCAAATTTTTTGCAGTCATAAATAACTCAACATTAATTACGTATGCTCGTAATATTCTTTATTTTAAAAATTTATTTTCAGTTTTAAAATATTACATTTACTCTATACACTATAGACATATAGCTTTATGTTAAATTATATATGCTTCATTACCTTCAATTCGGAGCAATTGATCATCGTGCCTCGTCTATGAGTTCGATAATTCTTGAATTTATACAAAAACGGCTTTACTTTGTATTTAATTATTACTTAAAACATGAAATTCGAAGATGTAGGTAATTCGAAATGCAATCTTTCAAACAACTCCTTTTTTATTTTCAGTGCATACTCACTTGTTTGTTCACACACACACACACACTCTCTCTCTCTCTCTCTCTCTCTCTCTCTCTCTCTCTCTCTCTCTCTCGCTTAGCCCCACAGCCTCTATGGCCCGATCCTATCGTAGATCTCTTTTGGAGATACTACCCGATCCTATCGTAGATCTCTTTTTTTCTTGCGCTCCCTCATCAGCTGGCTCTACCCCTCCCCGTTATCCCGCTTGTCCATCACGCATCTCTCGCTGTCTCGCGCAGCCTCTCCCTTGAATAGCACAGCCTCGAGTCTGCGCACATCGAACCCCGCCCTATGCCGTCGGAGGGGGGGGGGTGTTGACGCGCGCATCGTCGACGACCGAAGAGGTTAAAAAATGAATCCACCGAGGTGGATGTCAGTCGCGCTCAAGCCCGCGATCCGCGAGGCAATGGTTCTGCACACGACCACGACAACCGGCTCAATAAAGCATTCGAGCCTGGGACTGTAGCCGGGAGAAAGATTATCTTTCGGCCGCTGTCGTTGCATTTCACTTCTATATGTAGTTTTGTATAGTACGTTTTCAGTTGAAAAAAAAGAGAAAAACAATCGTTGGCTTTTATCAAGATGGAAAGGGCTTGACAATTCGTTAAAATCGTTAAGCTCGCGGTTCGTGTGTTTAAGAGAGAATCAAAGGATATATATATATATATATATATATATATATATATATATATATATATATATATGACGGATATTGCTATTTTTTATTATATATGATATATATATATATATATATATATATATATATATATATATATATATATAAATGACGGATAGTTGTATTTTTTATTATAAATGATCTATGGAGCGACGATAATCGAGATATCCAGGAATAGACAAACCAACAAAACCAAAACCAAAACAAAAAACAAAAACAAAAAAAAAACAGGAAAAGAATAGAAGGGAAAAGAGACCAAGTATTGAATACGACTTAACGAGCCTATTCAAGTTTTCAAAAGTGCCCAAAAGTTCCCAAAAGTTGAGAATTGAAATATTCCCATTCTCAATCGAACGATCGATCGGATTTATACGGAATATGAAATGCTTGATATTCTGTTGGAATTTCAAGTGTAGAAATTCAATAAGAAGGCATTTAAGATTGACAGCTTGACGATCTTGTGCGTGTTCGTGTATTTATGTTAGCTCATGTTCCTGCCAAAAGGAGAATAACCTCGAACCAATGAGATGCTAAATAGAATAACCAACAAAGTTGAAGTGAACAGTATTAGCAGGTACATTGTCAAACTGTATGCTGTTCCGGCTAATCTCATATATTATAATCTTAATAAAGATTCAGGTAAATCAGTTTCCAAGATGTTATGTTCATTATAGGACTAATAAAAACGAAGCTTGAACGATATTTCGACATTTTTGTTATCAATCCTTCAACTCGAAATGCTTATGCTATAAAATGTGTTTTGACTAAAATGTTTTGCGATATAATATTAAACAATAATAAAAATAATTAATTATACATATATGGTGTTGATGCATCGAAAATTTGAAAGTTTGCGACTGGAGGAAGATCGACACGATCATTATATGTGTAATGAAAATGCAACGAACAAGTAAATCGATGTTGAATTTGTCTCTTGAATACACAATTATTCTTGAATTTAATGAGCAAATTTTTTTGAGCCATCACGGCAAGACAGATAAAACAAACGAATAAAATATTTATGATTTTAATAAAGCGCTTCTAACATTTCAACTGTCAATGCAATTCCAAATTACTTAAATGATTCTTTAAAATGACGGCATTAACAATTTCAATCAATTATTAATACTTGGGCACCTGACGTTTTACCGATTGAATTACTTCAGAGACTTTTTTTCAATACTAGAGCTTAGTCATGCAGGAGTTTACAATGAATTCGTCTTGTTGTACGTTGAATCGTGAACCAATATCATCGTCCTCCGCGATTTCCAGGACGATGACGACGGCGACGGCGACGACTGCGGCGAAGACAACAAAAACGAAGACGAAAACGAAGACGACGACGATGACAACCACGATGACCACGATGACCACGATGACCACGATGACAACGACAACGACGACCCTGACGAAGGCGACGACGACGACTACGACTTGTACCGCGTCTAAAAATGATCGTCTCTCTTGATCCTAACTCGATCCCGAGTGCCTCGACATAGCACCGGCAACTAATAAAAATTTCATCGAGAAACCAGGTCGGGCTATTAACAAGAGTCGCCAAGCAGCAACGACGATTCGCGTACTCGAAGGCAACGTTTGCCCATCAACGGGAGTTACAGTGGTACCATCCACTTCTACATCCACAGCACCAGGTGTAACGATGCACGCGGGAAGCTCGGAACTACTCCTCGATGCAAAGTGCCGACAGTTGCTGCACGACGAGCTCCTGGAACAAGAGCAGCGCCGTCGCAAACTTCTCGAGCTCGGTTATAACGCTGCTAAGCGTCGGCCACCGAGGCGCACATGCAAGCAGAGATTGACGTTTTACGCGACGTCGAGCCTGGCCCTTATTGCCATATCAGGAGGTTGCGCCCTACTATTCCTGGTACCCCTTTACGTGGATCCCGCGATCAGCACCTTAACCGCCGATTTCTTCCCCGAGCCGGTTATTTGCACGACCTTCAAGAGGGAAGACCTTTGGGGCCTGTTCAACTGCAGTTGGAGCTCCTGTAGAGAAGGATGCACCAGTGAGGTTTACAGGTGCACGCACATTTACGTGACTTATACCCCCTGGACTAATTCCACTCTCAACGAGAGTGACTACGCAATGGATTTCAGTGAGTCCGCTAGTGCGCGAGAGAATTCGTTGGCCATGAGCGCGGGGATGGTAGACGAGCCGGAGATTACCGAGGCGGTGCTGCTGGTAAATATCAAGGGATGCGGCTATCCGCCAGTTGTCGACTGCGAAAATTTCACGAGAGAGCTCGGTTACGAGGGCTCCAGGTTCCCATGCTACTACAGCCGCGTGAACGGCAGCATTGTCATGGCTGAGTACGACAGGGACGCCGAAGTTACCATCATCATGCACTACTTCGCGGCTCCCCTTGTCATGACCTTAGCGACGACCGCTGTGCTCTGCGTTATGCACTGTGACTGTAGGTGTCAACCACCGCCGAGGAGATATCCGCCGTCCAGGAGGGTCGTCAGGTCCTCAAGGCCGAATGATCTTAGGTATTGGTGGTTATGCTTTTACGTTGGTGAGTGTAAGATAAAGGCGGGCTTTCGCGTGGTCAGCCAGGATTGACGCAGAATTGAATATTTGAGCGAAGGTTTTATAATCGGTAATGATTGCACACGGAAAAAAGGTCTTTTTACCAATTTTCTTTGGCTCATTGGTCGATCTTATTATTGGTCGATAGCTTATTATTTCATCTACCATCATTGTTTTTCTCGCAACATTTCCCCCGCCTTCCTTTCTCTACATTCCATTAATGTTATTTAACGGACTTAACGTGTTGTTTAAGCCCTTAAAATGTTGTTTCAATGTTGTACATTACATATGTAGGCTCAATGAATTTTTGAAACTATGATAAAATACATTTACACCGCGTAATTTTAAACAATATGTACGCATATATATATATATATATATATATTACATACAGAGATATATTTGTGACCTAAATATACTAAACATTGGCAATCATTCTAAATTTTCAATCGTGTGTTTGAAAAATCAATTCGTCTTGAATTTGAAATGTAATTAAAGTTAATGACAATTATAAATGAACATTGCATTCAATTGTTCTCATAAGCTATAGAATATGCTTATTAACATAATTCTTTACAAACAAAAGTACATTTTTTAAATGTAATATAAATTTACATTACCTAATATTAAAGATAAGCGGATATTATATCGTCATATAAGTTATTTGATAAATTCAACATGTATACATTAATTATTGAAGACTCAAATTGATGAAAGCAAGTGACAACGAACATTGAAAGTTTGTAACTATATTATAGTTCAAGCATTTACATAAATACTATACAAATATATAGAGAATAACGGATAAAACAGAATAAAATGTCAGCACTTAATCGCAATTAAAATTCTCATATTTAAAATTTCTTTTTCATTTTCATAAGAAATCACATATTGATTTTTTTCTTTTTTTTAACGTCTTTTTCAATTTATTTATATGATTTCATGCCTTACAGTTTATGTTCATCTATCATTGATTGATTGATTTATCAATAATATCGATTATATATTATGTAGATTGGTGTAAAAATTTATATAAGCGTTTTTTCCATGTGATCATTATTACTAATTATTGCGTTTGTTTTATGGCTTGTTGAGGTATGGTTGATTTTTATATAAAAAAAATGTGTTGACTTTCAAATATTGTGTAAATTTGTACATAATTTTTCACTTAAAAGAAATAACTATAAATTGTTTTTAACTAGATACTTTTAAGCATAAATATGCATAAATAATCTTAGGTGATTAAATATTTTATCTAAGCAATATTACGAATACTAGATACATTAAAGTTGCGTAAAGATTTATAAAAATTGATATTAAAGTATTAAAATACTAGATTTAAATGTATATTATATATGTTTATCTGCATCTGTCTGTCTTTCTCTCTCTCTCTCTCTCTCTCTCTCTCTCTCTCTCTCTCTCTGTCACTTTTTTTCTTACATATACATAAGATATGAATGTTTCCACTTCTAATACATAATATATCGATAGATTAAAAATGATGTATCTGAATGTTATATCTCAAGTCAAATTTAGGAATTCAGTGTACTGTTTTATATATCTTTTACAAGCTTCAGTCGGTGATAATATATTTAATTAGTCGTTAATTTCTCAATTATTACAATGATTACTGCTGACATTATCTAAAGTATCGAATACTTTTACTTAATATTGATTAATGAAAATCGTAGATATAATAAAATTAAAAATTAAATCAATACTTTCATGTCACTATACTCTAAATTTTACAATTTTAACACATTTTTTTCATATAAAAGAAATTGACATCAGACCAATTAGTTTTATAGAAGAAAGTTGGATAGATGCATGAATCTCTTGTTTATGATTAATGAAAAATATTTTTAAATATAAATATTTCGTTTGTAAAATAGACTAGAAATTTTTTTATCCCAAATAAGTCGTATTACTTATTCTTACTTATTAAACGATAAATCTAGAAGATGCAGTACTATGTACATAAAAAAATTTTTATTTCATCGTACTTCGTTAAATTAATTTTATTAATATTATATATTAAGATTATTTTTAAAGGATTGTGTTACTCACTTTATTCAAACAATGTGAAAATTTAGTTTAAATACGTTAGAGATTTTTTTTATCTCAAACGTTATTCATAAAGTACAGTTAGTAACACACTTCTAACGAAATCTTGATTTTCATGATTTTCTGAAAAAATAAAATACAAAATAAAATATACAAAATACACAGTTCAGATTATATAAAATATTGAAAAAATAATAAAATCTCATTTTCATATTAAATCCATAAAATTAACAATGTTAGTTTGTTAGTTATAATTATATTTGTTTCCCAATTAATATATAACAAAGATTCCACTTTAGTTTCTCTAATTCAAATAACTCTAAATATAATTTCATTTTTATTTATTTTCCTTTATTAAACAGATTATTCATATTTTAATTCACACTTTTAATATCGCTGTTTTACAGTTTAGAAGGCAATATTTTATGTTCCTTTTAAATATAAACTCATCAAAGCAAGTGAATAATTTTTAATTAAATTTTATAAATATTTAATTAACAAACTCCTTGTAAAGTCCTAAAGAATAAAAGTGTCAAGCTCATAGCTGAGCAACTAGTAATTTGTCTTTCTAAAAAAAATATTCCGATTTATTCTTCTCTCAACTTAGAATAGATTTATTTATCTGTATAGTAATAATATTTAAATTTAATAAAATTTAATCAAATAATATTGAACAATCATGAATATATAAAATCTATGAATTTGAGAAATAATGCATTAATTTAAATACCGTTTCTTTCCATCATATTCTTCTAAAATAATCTAAATAAATTTATTCTTTTTTTATTTTGCAATAGGAAATAAATATTTATTTTAAAATTAATATAAAGTATTATTAAACTAAAAATATTAAGTCCTATATTTTAAAAACTTTAAAAAGTACTTACATGAAATATTTTAGATCTTTCAATTAAAAAAAAAAATCATTTGTTTATTGATTGGAAGTAATTTTGTTAATTTGTATAATCAATTTGAGTTTTCTGTAACATTCCAATCATATTTACTCATCAGTTTCAAATATTAATTCAAAAACGAAACAAATATTAACACGTACAAGTATCATTAAAGAATAGATGAGATTTTATTTTAAAATGAATTTATTAAGTTAGTAGAGCACATCAAAGGAATGTGCATGCGAAGCTCCAATGTGAATTAAGCATATATGTTTCTCTTATACGTTATATATTTAAAAATTTTTGTAATTAAAAAATCTTATATCATATTTTTGATGAGCTTTCATATACTCTGCGCATCATATCTTATTCATTGAATTGAAAATTCGTATTAAAAAGGCAAACAAATAAGTTTTGGATCATTATTCTTAAATGAAAAGTAATAATGTTAAATTTTGTTGAAACCCGCTTTCTTTATGTTTTCATTATGTTTGGGTAATTTTTCTATATATATATATATATATATATATATATATATATATATATGGAATGGCAGGGTAGAAGAGAGGGTAGAAGCGGAACAACTACATAATTCCATAAGTTTTCATTGGTTATATATTATGTAAGAAATTCTGATTACAAAAATGTAAGAATAGGAGATTAAAAGAAAACAATAAACAATAATATAAATCAAAATGCATTACTCTCCATCCGTAGGAATATTAAGTTATAATTAAAAAATATTCTATTTTCAAACTAACAATAATATAATTTCATTTTGAATATGTAAAATTAATAATAATACATATTAGTAAAACTTATGCAATTTAAAAGAGGTAGAATTAAACAAAAAAGATTTGTTTTTTTGCTGTGACCGTGTTCAATTTTTCTATTATGTGAATATTAATGCACAAGTGTATAAATTTGAAATCACATGTTATTAATATTTCCATGAATAATATATAATAATTGTATATTCTATTAAATTAATACTACATTAATAACGGTAACATATTTATATCAATATTTAATTCACGGTTACATAAATTTATTTTACTTTATTTTTTTATACTGAAAACTGTATTCACAAATAATTATAATGTTTTATAATTTTGCCATTAAGTATGCTTTTAAAAACTAAATAAATATTTAAAATCTGAATATTTAATATCTAAAGCTGATACTACAGTATTTACATTATATTTACTATAATATTAACATTATATTTTTGTAAAATAATGTTATATGATATAAAATTGCCTTATTGATACAAAGTAGTTTAATTCAATTAGAGTTAATAATTATAAAATTATATTATTTAGTCCATTAATATGATCATATTTTTGAATAATAAAAAATGAATCGATTAATATAATTTCTTCCATATTTTATTATATTTGATATTTATTTTATTATATCTGTAAATTGAAGAAGCTTTTAAAAAATTATACGGAATTTTCGAAATAATAATTCTTGAAATTTCAAATACTAATTAACTATTCGTATTAAAATTATTATGCAATTTTTAATATATTTAATATATAATTTATAAATGATATTTAACATTTACGAGAACATATGCTTATTCTAAAATAAGTACAGATCATTTTAATTGAAAAATAATACGCTAAGACTTATACGAAATATCACAATTATGATAATTTTTAAATATATAATGAAACATTGTTAACAAAAATTTTTTATTTAAAGTAATTCAAGAACAAAATATAATAACTCCAATAATAAAACTATTTCTGTTAATTTCTAATGATTACATTGACTCGATAATCATAATAGAAGAATAACAAATAATTAGCCATTTATATATGTGAATATTTAATCTATAACTTAAGTTGTAAAAATATAAGTAACTTAACGTACGTATGTACGCGTAGAAATCTAAATGTGCTTACATCCCCCTTAACTTTTCTAAGTTTATTTTTACATCTGTACTATTACTCTATTACATAACGTTAAATAAACTCATGAATAAACTTTTTATAAATAATATTGCTTTTGTAATAGGAAATTTTTAATGAAAATTGAAAAAAAAAATTATACAGCTTTAATTGTGTTACTCTTGAATTAATGAATAAACCTAATTGTTAGATGTTTGCCAATGACATCAA